ATTCTATTCTATTCTATTCTATTCTATTCTATTCTATTCTATTCTATTCTATTCTATTCTATTCTACTCTACTCTACTCTACTCTACTCTACTCTACTCTACTCTACTCTACTCTACTCTATCTTTAAGTGCCAAGATTGAGAAACATTGCATAAGAGAAGTACTTCCTTACCAGAAAAAAATATTTCAGACAGGTACACCTAAAGTCAGTGTTAGTCCATCAACAAGACCTCAGCTATTCAGGAAATTGCTCCCTCTGGTGACATAAGGAGTGTTTTCTTAGCCTTAGCATGCAATAATACTAAGAATGCATTAATCGCTGTGCTTCTACTTTGGGCATGCTATCTAAGATTCGCTGAATAATATTACTGTCTAGCACCACTCATCAACTAATTGACCCAAGTTAAATGATTCACCTTGAAAGAATTTCATGCTTTACCAACCATGCACAAAAGAAAATTGACAGAAAATTGTCAATATTTCAAATCTCCAGACTGAATGTTAAGCAAAAAGGGAGGACATTTAGTTGTTTTATTGAGAGATAGAATTCCTTGAAATATACAAAGAAGATAAATTTTCTTAGCTAAAGGCAGTAATATTTAACTGAAGAAAACAGCAAGAAGACTGGAAAAAAATCTGTAAAAAGGAGTTTCTTAATCCGACTTCAGTCTTGAGATGAAATTTTGTTTGGGTTAACTCACAGTGATCAATACTAGTAGAAAAACACATTATAAAAGACAAAAAAAACATATAACTTACCTTAAACTTGGTAGGGTGATTATCTGGAACCCTGTCTCGGCATGGGCTACTGCAGCACGTTCCCATGGTGTCAAAACAACAGGGAAACCCTGGAACTTAAGGAAAACCAGAATACTGAAGACCAAACTGTAAACAGCATCTTTCTAACAAAATATTTCAATGTTTCAAAAACTCAGTGATGGGATTTCAGACAAACCATCATGCTCCTGCTTAAACCTTACTTAGCCATGGCTGTGAGCAGTTTTTTAAGGGGAGGATTCCCACATTCTTCACATAATCCTGTGCTGGGTGTCATGGCAATCAAGATGCCAAGAAGTCATTTATGGTTTCATAGAAACTATGTCAACTTTCACCTATGAAGAAGAGAGATAGATAAAAACACTCAAAATGACTAAGCCCCTCAAATTATCAACTGTATTTTACAGTCTCTTTTTGTACTCATATAGGTCAAGTATCATGAACAAATCATTTTAAACTTATTAACTCTCTGGCAGAAATACAGCAGAAAGTCTATTCTTCATCTATGTCACAAGGAGAACTAGAAATTTACTTTAAAATGAAAGCTTCAATTCATAAAAGTTTAATTAAAGTATTATTTTACAGCCTTCTAGGATAATTTGGTATTCCGTTTTGCAAAACAGAAAAGTAAAAAAGTTAACATAATTCATCAACAAAGAAACAATGGTAATAATTTATATATCTTGACACTGGATAATAAAGATTCCTTAGCCTAAAAAAATTAAGTTTTCCATTTTGGAGAAGTGTGGGTATTCCTGTGTTACCTAGTGAGAAAACAAGTTAATGACAAACATCCTTGAAAGGCATCTTGCTTATTAGTACTATATACATTGTTGTCCAAAAGGCAGATCCAGATGTTTAAGACATGCACTCATTGTACATGAATTTAAATGTGAGGGCTTAAACAGGCATATCTGAAATTGTAACACATCCAAGAAATCAGTGTCTTGTAACACATCCAAGGAATCAGTGCAGGGATTCCTTCAGAGAAATTTGTGCAGAAAATGATTGCTCAAGACAGGAATTTTGACATCTACTTAAAAGAATATTGATTATATTTGAGAGGTAGAAAATGTCCACTTCCCAGGTTGTTATAGGATTTGGTAATAAAACTAATGAACAATGGAGTTGTTCTGAGAGTGTAAAAAATTAAACGAGAAGATTAATATAAACTATCTTCAAGAGCTACCAATAATTCTTTAGCTATTTATCAACTATTGTTGTTTTAAAACATTCTGAATTCCAGATATTCCCAGAGTGTCTCTCTCCCTGGCAGTGAATGAAAAATCCTACTTCTCTTGCACAAAGATTAATTTTAACCATTTTAATTAATGAAAAAGTTATTAGAAATCTAACATACTTCAGTTCTCAGGAAGTTCACCTGTCTTCCATGTCGTATTTGGCAGTTTTGCTGGCTATTTCCAGCTTGGCTATAAATCACACTTCGTTTCTGCAGGCCTGGAGTGCCAAACATTCTGCAATTAATCAACAAACAATAATTTACAGAAAAAAACTTGCAATTGCGCCATAGTATAGTTACAGGAATAACCTATACAAAACAAATTTTGCTCATTGTTAATGCAGAATGGAAAAAAAATACATACAAAAGTCATTTCAATGTATTAACAATTTTTCTGAACAGGAATAGCTAATTCGTTTCTATAAACATTATATGGCAGCAGAATAACCATAAAAGATAACCAAGAGCTATCCAAATGAATTATTTAAGCTTTTAAGGTGCTTCTACACAAAATCTGTACTACTTCTAAATTTCTCAAAGTGGGTCTGACTGTTTCTTCTCACAAAAACAGTACAGAAGAAAGCTGCAACTGTATCAATATAGCAATAACTATTAACCTAGGCAACAGTCTCTCCTCCATGATACAATTCCCGATTCCCTGATATACAATTAAAGAATAGCTTGCCCCAAAGCTGAAGGCCCATTTTACATTAAATTAAAACAAATGCAATTTATTATTTCTGTAAGGAGCATCAAGACTCAACCAATTCTAAAATAAATTATGCCTGTTTTCAGTGATAATGTTTATCATTACTTTGAGCATTTTTCTTGCATGAAGCAATAAATATGACTGCAACAAATGAACAGGCAAAAAACAATCAGGACTAATGAAATCTGTATTATGATTTCAATGTACATATGCTATGCACTCCATGGATTTTAAGTTGCTGCTTTGTATGAGCCGTAATGCATAGTCAAGGTATGGATTAGGGGAAAAGGCTAAATAACAACATAAGCAAACAGGCCTCAAGCAGAAGATCACAGAACATTTATCCAACACTGATGAATTTTTGTTTTGAGGATGCACAAATATTTATTGTTTTTGCCTTCAAATACTTCAACTCAATACCATAAGAATTACTGCAAACTGCTGCAGATTGCAAACTACAGTTTGCAAATCAGAAACACACTCATTTCAGAACAATATTTTTCTTACATGCATTTAATTATAGTCGTATATTAAACAAAGAGCAAAAGCACAAGTTCTCTTTGTGCACAAATTTCAAATTTCTGATTTTCGAGGAAACTAAGATAGCACAGATGCTAGTGCAAAATCATAGCTGATATAGGGAAAGGAAGAAGTCATTCAAAATACAAAGATGGAAGCATACAGTATTCATAACATTAGATACTTACAAACATTTGTTTCCACAGAACTAGCATTATCTGTCCTTCAATTTAAGCCTTACTGTTGCTTACTAATATGTAATAAACATTATATTTTAAGAGTTGTTCTTCACTTGCATCTAACTATAGCATAAACACATTCCAGAAACCATTTTTTCTGGCATTGCCTTTATCTGATTTCTACATCTGAAGCAGCCTTGAGTTGTCCTTAGCTGTACTATTGTTAAAACAGTTTCCTCTTTATCCCAACATACTGTAGGTTTTGTTGAAGATACAATTGGTACACTCAGGTAATCCCTTGGGGGGGGGGCAGTAGATTAGACTGACCCCACTGGCCCATTGAGATTAGTACAAATATAGTCCTGGGCATTGTCCTCCATTCCACTTTGGGTAGGATAGTCTGGTTCTTTCAAATCAAACTCTTCTACCTGACAGATCTCTGAGCTGACACCAGTGATGTCTGTCAATAAAGCAGGAGAAAAGGAGCAACTTTCCCCATGCTTTGTCAGTTGATCAGTTTTTGAGCACAAGTTCAGTACTCTTCTTAAATGGCACTTTAGTCAATGCCTAAAATGAGTCCATTTACCAATTGACATCAGCTGATAGTCAGACTCCCTTTAAGCCCCTTCCACAAAACACCTGTGCAAAACCACAGCAAGTTCTGCCAGATGGCTAAACCTGCACCAAGGTCACATTAAGAGCAGTAGCATTTGTTGCTATCATGCCTGTAGCAGCATAAGAATGGCCACAGAGGAAAGCCAATTTTATTGGGTTATAGTTTTCTGCCAGCTCATGGGCTCCTGGATAGCCTTTAATCCAAGCATCAGGAAGACTCTTCTGAAACATGCTATCCAACATCAGGTCCTACATTATTATCTATATTAATACATTTTTATTTTTTTTATTTTGTCAAGCAATTAGAAGATGACAGGTATAAGTATAAACATAGCTATGAATACATGAAATGGATACATATAAGAAAAAAACAGAGTAGGACAGGGACGGTAGGCATGTTGGTGCGCTTATGCATGCCCCCTACAGACCTCTTAGGAAAGGGGTAAGGTCAATAGTAGACAGTCTAAGGTTAAAGTTTTTGGGGTTTGGGGAAGAAACCACAAAGTCAAGTCAAGTATTCCAGACATTGACCACTCTGTTGCTGAAATCGTATTTCTTGCAATCAAGTTTGGTGCGGTTTACCTTGAGTTTGTATCTATTGTGTTATACATACCTAAAACTGAAGCAATTTCACTTAGGACATCATTTTTCTATCTGGCAGCAAATAATTTCATATATTGTTGTTGTAACATAATTTTCATTCGCTGTGGTTAAAACCAAGATGTTAGGGACTACATCATGCTCAAAATGGTTGAAAAATATTAGGTTTGGGAAAGATTTCAGTTCTAATCAATTCCTATTCTTTCTACATCTCTATCACTGGTCAGTAATACACCTAAGGCAAAAATACAAAAACTACATAACACATGAACAAATCTACCAATTTTCTATAAATGACAAATGAAGACAATGCAAACTATTCCAATTACAGTCTTTTTGGACCAAGTAAAGCAAAAAGGGCACAAAAAGGGCTACACTGCAGTTCTGTACAATGTGATTATTCCTAAGGCATTTACTACTACTAGGAAAACAGAAGCCTACAGAGAATTAAAGCTAATCACAAAGCATACAAATTATGTTCACTTACTGGCACATGATCAAAATTAGATTGGCCAATTATGTGTGTGACAGCACTGCAATCTAGTAGTAACGGCTATCTAAAGAAGCCAACATCCGAATAAATAATTTTAGTCTTTAGTGCCACCAAAATCGCTTGCTTTTACTGCAATGGATTCAAAGGCTACTTCTCCAAAACTATTGCCAGAAAAGGAAAATCACGACGAAAGACTATTGCTCTCCCAACCACCACCCCGGAGGGACTGCAGACTAAAAGACAAGGAAATAATTTTCAATGTATAAAATAGGAAGGGGACGAAACTGCTAGAATCTGATGGGTAACAAGCGAATAACAACGGCAATGAATACGAGGGTGCAAAGGAACTGGGAGAGAACTGCCGTCCTTGGTCGGGGAAAGGGTGGGAGCGGGTTGGGCTTGCAAGCGCCGGCGCCACGGGAAGACCGCCAGGAGGAGGAGGAGGAGGCCAGAGGACGGCGAAAGCAAAGTCAGGATAAGAGATAAGCTGGCCGCCGGGTCTTAGGAGGACGGCGCGTGTTTGGGCAGGGGGAAGCCTGAGAGGTCAATACTTGCGGCACCGTCCAGGCGCGGCGCGGGATAGAAATGACGGAAGCAGCCGCTGCCGCCGCGTCCCTTCGCCCAAGTCCAGCCCGGGTCTGAGACCGCCGGGAGCAGCGAAGAGCACACGAGGCAGCCTAGAGCGTCGCTCACCGTCAGGAGGACTCGGCTTTCGACGGGCCAGGAGCTAAGTGACGGCGGACCGCAACCACAGACTTTATGATTGGTAGATAGCCGTGGTCGAACGAGGGGGCTTGTTTCAATGGCTTTTTTTCTTTGTTTCCCTACTTCATTAAGCGGCCAAAGGGACGGCTGCTTTCCTCCAAAGAGGGGTGTAAATTTAGATTTTAACGGAGGTCTGATCGGGCAGCAGAGGGTCCGCCAGCCTTCCGTCACCAAAGACGGGGAAACGTGTTCATTCTAATTTTCATGCCTTTGAAAGGGTTTTGAAAAGGTTGAGCAGCCAAATGCATCGCCAGGCCAACACCCATTCAGTCCACGGCCATCCCACGGTTGCAAATGAAGCGTGACCCACAGTTTGCTAACCGCTTCCATCGGGTAAAGGGTAACCTTTTCCGGGCTGGAGACGCCGCAGTTTGTCTTGTGCCGCACCTGTGGGTCGCAGAGAAGTTACCGAGTGCATCCGCTGAGTTCCTGCAGGTGGCGGAACGGATGGATGGGTTGTACGTCAAGCGCTAGTGGCTTTTCTCAGGCGCCGTTTAGCCTGGGCGCAGCTGCAAATATTATTCAACAGCAAATGCAGCAATCTCCACTCCCACCACCCGAAGGAATGGTTCACATCTTTGCACGTAGATGCCTTGTTCCCAGTGTAGGTGCAAGAAAAAACAAAACAAAACTGCACGGGATAGGAAGTGGCTGTTCACGTCATACCCACTAGGTGGAGCTACGCGCCTCTGACTTGGCCCGTTACGGCTCGAGCTGGTGGGTCCCGACGCGCGGGCTGGTTCCGAAAAAGGCGCCCATCCCAACTACCGCATGCAGAAAGCGAGGTGGTCGGTGTCCGTTAAAACTAAAGAGTAATAGGCAATGCAAAAAATCTTGGGAATTGTAGTCCTTTTGCACATCTCATATCCTCGATGAAGGGTTTGATTTCAATGTGACAACAGCAGACTGACTCAGAATTCCAGAATTTGGTGCTAGAATGGATCAAGTACTGTAGTAGAATTGGACCAATCCTCCCATTTTAGCCAACATTTCCTATCCAACTGCATAAAAAAATAAAATAGATTGCAAAAACCTCCAAAGCCATCCAAAGAATGGGGACAATTATCTGTCTACTCTCTTCAAGTACCTTCTTTTTTCTCTGCTTTCAGAGTGACCTGTGTATATCTATGTGTAGGTTTGGAAGATTGTACACTTAATTGTATTTAGTTTTCCTTTCCCCTTTCATACATGGATACTGAGCAGATGGGATTCAAATTTTTTAACAACTGGTTCTGTGGGTGTGGCTTAGTTGGTGGGTGTGGCTTGGTGGTCATGTTATTGGCTGGGCGTGGCCAACTCAATATCACTCATTGAGGCACGCATCTCCTCGCCTGGCCTCTCATGATTGTGGGGATTCTGCAACAGTCGTAAGTGTGAAAAATGGTCATAAGTCACTTTTTTCAGTGCCATTGTAACTTTGAATGGTCACTCCACACAAGCAAAGTACCAGCAAAGGAGGGAAATAAACTCCAGAGAAGTTCCAGAGACAGGAAGTCTAGTCCTGCCAAGAATGTAATAAGGGTTAACGGAGAGGCAGTTTCTGTAAGCAACACCAGAATGTTTCCTTCCTGCCTTCCTTACAGGATTAGGCCAATAATTTCTTCTAACAACTGGTTCTCCAAACTGCTTAGAATGTTAACAACCGGTTCTAGCAAATAGTTGCAAACCGGTAGAATCCCACCCCTGATACTGAGACCATGCATGACAATCCTCAGATTAGGGTTTGGGTTCTCTCCATATATTGTTGGTTGGAAGGCAAATAGTTAACTGCAAATAGAGCTACAAATAAAAACACTCTTGCGTTTAGCATCTAATGGCCATCACATTTCAGTGATTATATGAAGATCTGTAAAACACATATCCTATCATAATGATCTTTTGAATTCCAAACTAGTTTTTCTGGGGTCACACCCTGGTATCTTATCATCAAGGAATAAGGTTAAACCCTAAACAGTTCTTTCTTAAGTGCTTGGCTTTAGATCAAAGAACATTTCCAGAGCAAAATATGTAATATGACGTTTATGAGGCAAGTTGTTGTATACATTTGTAGTGTCTCACATTTTCTTGTGTTGAAAACTTTCCATTTAAGCATCCAAGATAGACTGCCTAGGAAAGGTACTCTTCTTCTTAAATTTCAAAGCACTATCAAATGACTAGTAGGATCTCTGACAAATGTTGTGTCCTACCCCTGAAGTTGTGTCCTACCCCTGCCCCTGAGGGCAAGGAACACAAAAGAGGGGTAGAATGAGCCCCTGCCTACACCAAGTTGGCCCTTCCTGCTACCTCTAAGAAACAATTCCAAATTATTTTGAAAGAAAGTACAGTATTGTAATTCTTGATGGTAAAAGACAGCATTAAAGAAAGGAAGAGAGATTATCAGCAAGAACCTGCTGGACTTTAACTTGCAGGTACACATATGAAGTCAGTAGATTGGAAGAGATCCTTTACACTGTATTTTACAAACATCAGTGGCATTTTCTATGTTGCAAGAAAATCTCATTAAGACTCCAAGTTAAAACACCTGTTGCCTGCAGAAAAAAAAAAAAAAACGGATGGCTCATATGAATACAATTTTAACTCTGTGGGATGACAAAAAGATACTTGGAAGCTTCATCAGGATTCATAGCATAATACATTCAGTTCCAACCAAAACATTTGTCAAATAACTGACATGAATTCTTCCAACACAGATGGAGCGCCACATGAGCACAACACAAACAATGCTATTTTGCCAATTGCTACATTGGGCTGTCACTTAAATCAATTCGTGCAGGCAAAATATTTATTTTTCCTTTTAAGGTGGGGGAGGGGGAGCTCCACATCCTTGAATTCTGTTAAAATAAGGTGTGCCCTTGTTTTCCTGCTCCATATGTGCTTTTAGCACTACTGTAATTCAAGTTATAAGTGATACAGTGTTTCACTCACACACTCCAGAAAGCAGATTATATAAAACCATATCTTAGGCCAACTTTACAGAGACTTTTCTAATGCTGTACATGTGCCAAATTTTAAAGATAAATGTGGAGGCCTTTTAAAATAAATAATTCAGATCTCATCATAGCCCAAGAATTAGTTTTTTTCTCTAAAGTATACTGCCTCATTTTAGCCCAAACTTACTATATAGAATATGCTTATTATTTTCTTAAATGTAAGTTTGAAATACTTTTTCCAAGTAGGTGCAAATTAGCCAGACAATTGCCAGTAAGAACACACATAAAAAAAGCACCTTTGGATTTGTCATTCCAAGACATTCTATATATACTTTTGAATTATATAGTTTGGTATCATGACTCTCAGCTTAATCTTCACAGTATAGTAATGTTGAACTTATAAAGAAAGAATTTAGAACTTGGTAATATAAATCATAAAAGATAAAATATCTTAATTTCCATATTTGTGCACTGACTAGTATACAGGAGTCCAGTTGGTAGTCTTCTGGAGCTGATAAGCTTATTGGAAATTTAAAAACATTTTGTGGGCATTCAACATACAAATAAGCAAAGTAATTCCTTATTACCAACTCTTTTAGACAATCCTTTCAAACTTACCTTTGTCTTCTTTCTAGGTGGTGCGCATACTTCCAAAGAAAGCAAGGTGCTACGACTACTTTCTGGTGTTATATACTAAAAATGTCTGTGGGCAAGAAGCATGACAATTTCCCACACTTTTAGAAACAAAATGTGTTTTTAAAAAATGACAGATGTGACATGAAGCCTGGCAGGCATCAAACAAATTGTTCATGGGTACTTTGATGCCTGCCGACATTATGTTTCCTTAACCTAACTTGTACAACAAGAAAACCTAATATGTGATCAGAAAAGGGGGGTTTTAAACTTCTCCCCTAAACACATTAACATTCCCTTTTTGTCCAAAGATATAAATGTCTAGAAACATTAAGTGCATACAGACACATCTAATCCTATGGTAATAAGAATATTTGCTTATTGTTGAGTAATGACGTGTTCTGTAAAAGTATGTAAAATACATACTTTTAGTCTAATAGTAATATTTAGTTAATACAAAAAATACAATTTACTGCTTGTGTGAAGTAAAATAATAGAAAGAAAGAAAACTTATCTATAACAAGTACAACAGCCCTACTCAGGTGTAAAATATATTGAGAGAAAGAGGTCCACCAACAGCAAGAGCAAAGTCCATAATTGAGATAATAATGCTACGTCTCCAGCAGCACATAATATTTAAACAACAAAGTAGTAGTTAGTGGGCAAGGCTCTATCAAGAACTTGTCTTTAGAATGCTGCCATGGCATCCTTAAAATGACAAATGATTCTACTGGCAATAAGGTCCTCAATATGTTGAGGACTTTATTTAAAGTTTCTGACCTTTTTTTAATGACATGCATTCATCAAAGTTGACTGATCAATTAGATTTCTAACCCTGACTATCCAAGAGAGGCCACCAAGATTCTATCCCACTGTTTAAAAGCTGTGGGGGTCAGAACGGGAACTTCACTGAATGACTGTAGGGGCCCCACAGTTCCCAGAACTGGATATTATGTTGTTGAATTTAGGAGGAGTTGCACTGCCTCACTCAGAATCTATGTGCAAGCTGGGGCATACTAGACATATAGTTCCTGCTTGAAGAACAGGTGGAAACTGTAACCAGGGCAGCCTTCGCATAGCATCTTCTTGTGTGCCAGTTGCACATGATCCTGGATTGGGGCATTTTGCCCATGGCCACTTGTCCTTACTCTTGATTGGTTATTGTGATGCACTCTTCCTTGGTGACCATAATGAATCTGAAACAATGGATATTGAGGAGGCTTCATTTTTATTTGTGATTCTTTCATTTTCCCCATAAGCTTTAAAATATTTTTAACCACACATGTATATAAATCAGTGAACAAGGGGATTATAAAAGAGCATAATGTCTTTTAGTTGGCAGTATTAATAGCTATTCATTGAATAGCTTGTTATCA